CGCAGACGAAAATGTATCTTTTAGTTGGCTACTTAATTCAGAGCATTTACCATAGCCATCAACTTTTAATTGGGCATCAAGAAATTTTCCAACATTTTTATAATCTATCTTAAAACGTTTCTCATATGTAGTTGCCAATTCCGACACAAATTTATTCAATGTACAAACAATAATGTTGTGAACCATAATTTTTTTAATATAATTTTCTGATTAATTTTTAATATTTTTAATATAATTTTTTATACTGAAAACACAATCAGTTAATGATTTACTAAATGGACGAGTAACAATCGTGTGGCATGGTTCCAGCAAAAGTGTCAATAAGAATACATTATTATAACTCAGCAAATTTATATTAAAATCTCCTATAAATATACACGGGGCATTGCTATTTCTCGATAGAAATGTTTCCAATTTGTTTATAAACATGTTAAATGAATATTTTTGCGATTTGTAAATAGAGAATATAATGAGTGGTTTGTTGTTGATAACTATACCAGGCAAAGAAAATGCTATAACATCAACTCTGTCACTCTGATTAATTAAAACTTCAAATTGTAAATTTCGTTCAACATACATAGTAGTATCACCATAAGTATCGTTCCTACAATAATGAATTGCATTCATCTAACGTATATATATTGGTAAGCTTCCTATCAAGCCATGTTTCTTGAACGTCAATAATCATCTTTTATTTGTGTCAAGAGCGATTGTGATTTCATAACCATGAGTGATCTTTCCCAATTAATAAAAGAACAGAGGGACTTATTTTATATTTTAACAAAATATCAAAGCCGTTTTGATACAAAAGAACCCTGTAAAAAATCTCATGGTTATGGAAATGCATAACCTCAAAGAGTTGATGACATTTTTAATCAATTCGAATCGCAAGAGGACATAATAATGCAAATTGTTCGAGACTCCTCAATGAATGCCAGTGATGTACCTCATTAAAATGATGATTAATTTTGATTTTTCGGAAAATATCTAACCTTCAAAGGAAAAATCTATGGCGCAATCACCAATGGGTAGTACATTTGCACACAATCATAATCTCTGCCAAAATTCTCAGATTATATGGTATGGATTCCATTCCGTGATATTTACATTTCTCTGGTTCATCAAAACCATTCTTTAAATAAAATTCAAAAATGTTATTATCTTCGAAGCACGTTAGAAGGCGAAGCAGCCTATTTAATTACAAATATTTCTGCCACTGAGGCAAATTATGACTCTGTGTGGAAGATTTTAGAATCAAAATATCACAATAAGCGATTGCTTGTTGGTAACTTTATTTCGAAACTTTTCAATATACCCAAATATGATCGTGGGTTCCAATCAATAAAAAATGCATAAGATTCTTCTCTTAAAAAAATTTGGATGTAAATGCTACCTCATGAGACCCATTGTTAATTTACCTACTTGTTCAAAAACTCGATATTCAATCTCACAGAGATTGGCAGCAATCTTTAAAATCTTCCACCGAGTTGCCCCTTCTATCACAACTTTTCTCGTTTTTAGAAAGAACACTTAGGACTCTGGAGTTCATAACTGATGAATTCGCATCAAATTCTTAACAAAACTATGCTAAAAATTCCACAGTTTACAAAAATAATACTCAATTTAAAAAAGCTTCTGTCCATATTGGAAAGTTTTCTAAACCAAGCATATCTACACGCGCATTTTGTGAGAGGAATCTTTCTCTCTTAAAATGTTTCTAATTTCTCGCTCTGACTTTGATCACAAAAACAAATTGCTTGCAGATAAAATATGTGTCGCAATTGTTTTGTTACCGGTCTTGATGCAAACAATTTCAAATCTATTTTTCGATACATAAGTTGCAATTGAGCCTGTGACACATAATAAAACTCTAGACATGTCCAATAATGTTACTTCTCATAGTGCACAATCATTTGATTCTGTTATACTGTACACAATTAGATTTGCGTTATCACAAATTATGGTAAATTCACTTTACGTGCGCTAATTGATCCCTGGATCTCAGGAAAGTCTAATTTCTGAATCAACAGTTCACTCTTATGCCTTGAAAAAATTCGATCACACATGAAGTAGCTAACAACAAGAGTTAGTGATTTCATGCACGGCTCTTGTTCTCTCTTCTCTCCCCTCATACAAACCAAATCCTTCATCTAAACATATTCCATTGCCTAATATTGAATATGAACACTTAGCTGATCTGTTCTATCCATATGCAAATCCGACTCAATAGATCCAATTCTTGGATCAAATATATTTTCTAAAATCAAGATTCCAACAGAATCGTTCATTCATAATGGTATATTCTTCAAAAATACTACTTTTGGATGGGCGGTGGTTGTTGTTGATTTTTGTCACCTTGGTAATGAGAGATTCTTGCTCTCATTGAAAGTAGTGTAGTAGTAATATAAGGCAACGATCCTCAGCGATCACCGCGATCCTCTGCGATTGCACTGATCCCCAGACTTCACTTGTCGTTGTGATTTGTAACCCAAAGCACCAAGGCCTCTGACGCCACTCCAATTTACAAAGGTAAATTATTGTTGTAATTGAAAAGAGATAAATTCAATAAAACCACCAAACTAATTTTTAATATAAAACTAATCCCCCTTGTGTTCTCATTTATTTTCCATTATTCTGTTTTGCATCACACCCCCATACAAACATTCTTTTTAAGAAGGAATCATCTCATCACCAAACACATATCCCCCTCATACCTTCATCCAACACATTAATCACCTTCATCACCTACTCATCAATACTCAACAAAAACCAGGTACATAAGTTCAGTGTTTTTATTGTGAGCATAAAAAAATTACCGCAGTGAAAAGGTGTTCTTGTTTAAATATTTCGCGGTACTGGTCGCCTTTGTTACACCCTATTTCTTGATATTGAACCTTTTACAGTCCACTCAATTTAAATATTAACGAAAAAGTGAAAATAATCTATTGGAATTTTTATTTCCGTCCCCTAACAATAAATTAATGCGAAAAAAATATAAATTTGTTCCTCATATATGCGGTTGTTTAAATAATATTTACCAACCAAGTGTTAGTGTTCATCGAAATAATCTGCCATTGTAGCGTACATCTATTATGTTGGCTTTTTTAAATTGTTCGCCTCTTCTTCTGCCTTGTTGAGAGATATTTTTCTTTTTATATTTGTTATAGTTCTCAAAACTGGTTTACTAAACAGCAAGCATACCAACAATTTAATTTTTCTCCCCACTTATCACTGTTGGTTCGTTGTCCCTGTTTCGCACTTAAGCCTTTTAACCTTTCTTCCCTTTTTTAATTTATAAGATTTAGTTTAGTTTAATTTTTTAAGTTCATTTTAGGCATTTATTCAATTTGTGGTTATGTTTAGGCTAGGTTTTTTATGTACATTTCTGTTTTAACTTATATATATGTATTTTGGTTTCGATTTGTGTTATATATATATATATATATATATATGTACAGATTTTTTAGGTTTTAATCAGGTTTCAATTTCATATTTTATAAGTAGGGTTTTTCATTTAGGTGTAAATACCACAATTTTTTCCACTTTTAATTCAGTTAGATTTTAGTTATTTTTAATTCAATTATATTTTGGTTATTTTTAATTCAATTAGATTTTAATTATTTTTAATTCAAGTAGATTTTAATTATTTCGTAAATAAGTATTGATTTTAGTGTAAGTTTTAATATATTTTTAAATTCATTAGGTTTAAGTTTTTACGTTTATTAATTTAAGTTTAATGTATTTTCTGCCCAATTCTCACTGGCGGTTTCTTCGTTTGCACCCACTTTTGTTGATTGTTGTTGAATCTTCCGTATCGTTTGTTTGTGAATCTATAAAAAACTTTATTTGTTAATGTCACTTTGGTTTTGTTTTTGTTGCACTTTGTCACGAGGGGGAACTATGTTGCGCGGTTTGACGATCGAAAAAAAAAACTAGCCAAACTGAAATTTGCAATGTCATAGCAAACCAGTTTGAGCAGTGCGAATTTTCCATATTTTGGAACATATGTGTGGGTGTATGTAATTTTATTTGCATTATTTACATTGTTTACATGTAAATGTGCCCAGTGCCGCTTATGTTTATGTAGCCGCCGGCAAAATATTAACCGACAGCTTTGGGCTGTTTGTACTGTAGTACAATGCCGCAGACGACATTTTTGCCGCCGGCCAAAGTTTTAATGACAGCTGTGTGCTGTTTTTAATTTTTATGTTTCTCTAAACATTTCTGGCCCCGCCGTGACAAGTGTATATCTAAATGGTTATTATAATACTTATGAGTTCCATGAGAGGTTCCTTATGGGTCCGGCGAAAATGTATCCTAGGCGGGTGTTGTATGCCAGTACGTCTCCAATACCCGCAGCCGAGCACCCCTCCCTCCTAATGGCCGAATAAGTATCGGCACCCAGTTCCACATCGATCGGCGTATTACCGGGTCTGCCAGAGCGTCACTGGTGAAGCTGGTCGTTGGGTTTTCGAGAATCGAGTCGGAGTAGATTCGTCTTGGCAAGTCGTCAATGATAATGGCATTCACTCTAAGTGTCCAATTGCTGCTTTGCCGGCGGGGTGCAATTGTAAACGATGTAAATCTTTCTCCCCGGTAGTGGCGCGAGGGCAACCCAATCCTACGGAAGGCTGCGTACGAGATCTTAGACATTGTTGCCGATTGGCTAAGTATAGCCCTTAACATTGTGAAGCCCTCGACGCCGTCCACCGATACCCGCACCATGACCGTCGGCACAAAGACAATATCCCAGGCGAACGCTGGGGCAGAAACGGCCTCAATATTTAAGGGCATCTCCTCTAGCTGCGAGGCCCCATGCAGGAGGGTATGATGCCGGTCGTTGCATCGCCGGCAGCCATCCAAAGATGCGCAGTCGGGGGCCAATTGGCTTCTCGCCAAAAAATTACGACAGTACCCCCGACGCTCGACCGTTTCATATCGCTGGAACGGAGTTTGTTGCTGGAATCGGGGGCATGAGCTCAGCGCATGGTCCTCCTGGCCTAGACCACACGAATACTGCCAAAACTGGGCCTTTCGCGGCGTTGCTGGGGTCGGGCATTGGACCGGCTTCTTCGGCGATCCGAGGAACTGGGTCGTCCAGCGCGGGTGGGGCTACGGGCTGTATGTTCGGGATTTCTGTTCCCTCTGCTAGGGTGGCGGGCTGCTCTGTCGGGACTGGAGCTGCGTTCGGCTAATCTCCAGCCTTGATTGGACAAATTGGCGGCCATGTCTGAAAAGATTAAGAGAATGCAAGTACAAAATTCTTCTTTTACTTGGGGTCCGACTAGTCAGTCGAAGAACAATTTGACTATTTTTGTGATTGGTCTGCTTATTTCGCCACCAACCGTTCGAATGTCTACAACCCTTGTGTTTTGGTCAGTTCCTAGGTATGTTTTTTGAATCCGACCTAACTTCCATTCATGAGGAGCTAATTTGTCGTCTTTTACCACCACTAAGTTCCCTTCTTTAATGTTATCCTTCTCATATTTCCACTTAGTGCGTCTGTGGAGCTCATGTAGATACTCCAGTTTCCATCGATTACAAAAATACTGAGAAATTACCTTGAGTCGTTTCCAACGATTAACTAAACTAATGTCAGTATCTGAGATGTCAGGTTCGGGTGGAGTAAGGATTGAGGTGCCGATTAGAAAGTGACCAGGGGTCAGTGGGGAAAAATCGTTGGGGTCGTCACTAGAAGGGCTTAGGGGTCTAGAATTCAAGCAGGCCACGATTCGGGGCAAACTCTTCGAATGTGAAGTTCATTTTCGCAAGTGAATTTTGAAGGATTTAACTCCAGCCTCCCACAAACCGCCCATATGAGGAGCGCCAGGAGGAATAAACTTCCAATTGAGATTTTGGTGGCAATTGCTCGCAATCGTGTTGGTTTGTAGATTTTTCATAAAAGCCAGTCGATCCCTCTTGAGCAGATCAACTGCTCCAACAAAATTTGTTCCATTGTCGGAGTAGATTGTCGACGGGCATCCACGTCTACTAAAAAATCTGGAGAAAGCAGCAAGAAATGCGTAGGAGGATAAGTCGCTTGCTGGTTCCAGATGTATGGCCTTCGTAGCGAAACACACAAAAAGGCACACATAACCTTTTGTTAAGAAACAAGTTCGACCAGTAAAATTCTTAATGTTGAAGGGTCCCGCAAAATCTACTCCAGTATTGGTAAAGGGTCTAGATAGGAGTGTGCGTTCGGGCGGAAGGGAAGCCATTATTTGCTCCTGGGTTCGTTTTTTATGAATTATGCACGTCTTGCAATTGCGTATAGTCTTTTTGACCAATGACTGAAGACCGAATATCCAGAATTCGGCCCTTAAAACTCGGGTCATTAGTTGATTACCTCCATGTAGGGTGACTTTGTGAGTAAAGTCTACTAATAATTTGCTAAGTGTCGCTCCGTGAGGTAATAATATAGGGTGTCGTTCACCGTACGTGAGCGCCGGTGATTGTACCAATCTGCCATTTGAACGCATAATTCCCTTTGAGTCCAGAAATGGGTTAAGTGTCAAGAGTGAGCTGGATGGGGAAATTCGGGTCTTGTTTTCCAGTGAAGCATATTCCTCGGGATAAAAAAACTTCTGTGTGCGAATTATACTGGCCCGTTTTCCATCCTGAATTTCTGGTGCCGAAAGTTCTGTTGACGACGTTCGGAAATGTTGCCTGTTTTCCCCAGTATTTTTCCACAATCTTAAGGCATATGCGTGTGATCGATATACTTTAGATAGAGACGAAAAATTGACGAGTGGGTCATCTCTTTCTCGGAATAGGGTCAAGGTCTTTACTGCTTTGGCTTCTAAAACCGTATCATCTTGAACTTCAGAGTATGGCCAACTACTCTTGGGTAATTTGAGCCATTGGGGTCCTTGCCACCAGAGCTCCAGGGTCTCGAGATCGCTCGGTGAACACCCTCGACTAGCAATGTCGGCAGGGTTGCTTTCCGAGTCAACATGTCTCCAACTCTCTTGTCCAACATTTTCGGAAATTTCTGAAATCCTATTTCCAACAAAGGTATTCCAGTGACAAGGAGGCTTTTTCAGCCATGCGAGAACTATTGTTAAATCCGTCCAAAATTGGGTCGAATATGAAGTTATTTGAAGATTTTTTATAATAGATGCGGCTAATTTCGATAGTAGTACCGCTCCGCATAATTCGAGTCGAGGTATCGAAAGTTTTTTGATTGGTGCTACACGGGTCTTGGCTGCCAACAAATGGGTATGTGTGCTCTGATCTCTGTTTTCTATTCGAATGTATAAAGTAGCTCCGTATGCGCTTTCCGAGGCGTCGCAAAATCCGTGGATCTCCACAGAAACATCTGGAGTGAATCGTATCCATCTCGGAACTTTCAAAAGTTCGATTTGTTTACTATTTTTAACAAAATTGTTCCAATTCATCTGGGTTACTGGCTTTAATTGATCATCCCAGTCAATTTTGTCTAGCCAGATTTGTTGCATTATTAGTTTGGCTACAACCACGACTGGTGCCAGCCAACCGCAAGGGTCAAACAACTTGGCTATTGTTGATAAAACTTCTCGTTTTGTTGAAGTATTTTTATTTTCCATTAGTGGCGGTGTGAATGTGAAAAAATCTCCAGAAATATTCCATCGAATTCCCAGTGTCTTTGTGGAGGCATCTTCGGAAATGTCTAGCCAATTGAGAGGTAATAGTTCTTCTGGTGGAATATCATTTATTATTTTGTGATCATTTGATGCCCACTTCATAAGTTGAAATCCCGCAGAGGCTAGAGCGACCGTTAATTCCTTGCGGGCTTTTATGGATTCCTCTATCGTGTGTCCCCCAGCTAGCACATCATCAACGTACAAATTGTTTAAAATTATATTCGCGGCTCTTGGATACACCTCCTGTATGTCCTCTGCCAGTTTTAGAAGTGTCCTCAGTGCCAAATATGGTGCGCAATTAACTCCAAATGTAACTGTCAGCAGCTCATAATCTTCAATTGGGTCTTCAGGTGTTTGTCTGAAGAGAATCCTTTGAAATTTAGTTTGAGTCGGATCCAAAAGTATTTGTCGGTACATCTTTGTTATATCTGCATTAAATGCGTATTTGAAAACTCTCCATTTTAGGATTTGTAGTACTAAATCCTGTTGCAGAATGGGCCCAGGAAATAGTATATCATTAAGACTTGTTTTGTTCGCTGAGGGGCATGAGGCGTTAAAAACCACTCTTAATTTCGTAGTGAGTCGATCTGGTTTTATTACTGCGTGATGTGGCAGATAATAATTTGGCCTCTTCTCAATTTCATTTTTGTGAATTTTTCGCATGTGTCCAAGTTCTAAGTATTCGAGTATCGATTTATCATACTGTTCCTTTATCTCGGGGGTTTTCATGAGTTTTTTCTCCATTCTGTAGAATTGAGCCAGGGCGATGTTTCTGGAATTTCCTAATTCCTCGCATTTTTTGAATGGGAGAGTCACCACATATCTTCCATCCTTATTCCGTATGGTTGTTTCAGTAAAATTGCGTTCGCAAAATTGGTCTTCCTCTGACCGTAAAACTTTTTTAGGGGTCTCTTCCACCTCCCAAAAACGTGTAAGTACCTTCTCAATCGATGTGGTGCTAAGTAATGAAATTTGATTCCTTTGTATTGTATTTCCTGGTATGGGTCCTCCAACAATCCATCCAAATTTGGTTTGCTGTGTCAAAATTGATCCAAATATCTTCATTGGTGTTCCAATTGTGAATATTAATGGTCCTATGTCCATTCCAATAAGTAAGTCAATGGGTTGACTGATGTAGAATTTCGGGTCAGCCAATTCCAATGATGTAATGTCTCTAAGTTGTGATTTATCTAAGTTTTGTGGTGGCAGATTCGAAGGTAACGTTCGTAAAACTGGAGCCCATACCTCCAGTTTAAAGCTAGGGTCGTATTTGGATCTCATGGTGAATAAGCAAGACTTCGTTGAAGTTTCCGAAACAAATTGACTGAGTCCTGTTACATGGATCAAGTTGCTGCGAGTTGGCAGTTTCAAAAGGTTCTTCATTTTTTCCGAGATAAATGTTGATTGTGATCCAGAGTCAATGAGTGCTCTGGCATCGTAAAGTTGTCCTTTGGCTTCAATTTGTACGATAGCCGTGAAAAGTAAAGTTCCCCCAGATTGTTGAGTCTCAACGTGTGTATCCTGAAGGGCCAAAGTAGTGACAGTAGTTGATTCTTGATTCGTAGTGGACTGTATTTGATTTGTAAGAGTGGCAGCACTGTTACTAGGTTGTGCTTCCACTCGAGCTAGGTATGTGTTTGTTGATTGGGTTTCCGTTCCCTTGTGTAACAAAGTGTGGTGTCTCATCGTACAAGTTCGACAGCCAAAGCGACTTTTGCAGTCCTTTACTCCATGGTTGGATGACAAGCAATTGTAGCATAAGTGTGAAGTTTTCACCAAGTGAATTCGATCATTCACATTCTTTTTCAAGAATTCGTTGCAATCCCTTATGAAGTGATTGGCTTTGCATAATTGGCATTGTTGAGGACTAGGTGCCTTATTTGATTGAGACTGAGTGTAATGAGTTTGTTTTCCTCCAGAGTTGTTGCCATTTTTCGAAACATTTGTTTGAAAAGAGTTAAAAAATCTCGGTTTGTTGTTCCCAGATGGTTTTGATTGAATGCTTTTTGACGTGGACGGTTTTATGTTCCCCACCGATTCCATTGTCTTGAATTTGTTTGTCAAAAAAGCATCAAATTGTTCCCATTTTGGAAGAAGTTTGCAATCCGTTAGTGAGTTCTCGAACTCCTCCAGGAAATTTCTGGGTAATTTGGTCGAACAAATATATATTAATATAGGATCCCATCCTTTCGCATCGACATCGAGGGTCTCCAAAGTCTGAATGCAGCTATTCACAGTGCGCTGCAGCTTCTGTATAGTTTGACTTGAGTCAGTTGACCTGGTCCCATGTTGAGTTTAGTTCCATTCGAGTGGTTTCCAATGTGTGTATTGTGTCATCCGGGTTGGTTATGGAAAACCCAATTTGAACATCCGGGACACTTAATCCGGGACACTTTAAGGTTTCGTTCGATTTAAAGTAAATGGTGCACCAAAGTCCTTATATATCTTATAGATTAAGGGTCCCTTAATCCAGATTAAGGGACACTTAATCCGGATTAAGGGTCCTTGACCCAGGTTTAAGTCTTGACCCAGGTTTAAGGCTTAATCCGGAATAAGGCATAATCCGGATTAAGGGCCACTTAATCCGGATTAAGGGTCCTTGACCTAGGTTTAAGGCTTAATCCGGATTAAGGCATAATCCGGATTAAGGGCCACTTAATCCGGATTAAGGGACACATAATCCGGATAAAGGGACACTTAATCCGGATTAAGGGACACTTAATCTGCATTAAGGGTCCTTGACCTAGGTTTAAGGCTTAATCCGGATTAAGGGCCACTTAATCCGGATAAAGGGCCACTTAATCCGGATTAATGGACACTTAATCCCGATTAATCCTTAATCCAGATTAAGTGTCCTTAATCCAGATTAAGTGTCCCTTAATCCGGATTAAGTGTCCCTTACTCCGGATTATGTGTGCCTTAATCCGGATTAAGCCTTAAAACTAGGTCAAGGACCCTTAATCCGGATTAAGTGTCCCTTAATCCGGATTAAGTGTCCCTTAATCTGGATTAAGTGTCCCTTAATCTGGATTAAGTGTCCCTTAATCCGGCTTATGGACCCTTAATCCGGATTAAGGGACCCTTAATCTATAAGATATATAAGGACTTTGGTGCACCATTTACTTTAAATCGAACGAAACTATGTATCGTGCTATATTCGGAGAAAGTGATTCTATGCTTATACTCAAAACGGACCATGACTATTTGGTACAATTTAGTACTTTATGTTCCCAAAATTACGCATTTCCTAAACTACCTCAATCCAACAGTAATTTTAATTCCTTAAGTCTGGAGTCCAGCCTATCCGTTAGCACATAATCAAGTTCCGGATCATAGACATAAGTACGAATTTCTAAAATGGAGCATCTACATCCTTCTAACTTTCCATCAGTGAACCACATCCAAAATTTCAGAATTCTAGCTCTTCCCCTTTGTCTACCCTCGATTCGGAGTCAATGACCTTTAATTCGGGTTAAATGATGGCCTTTAATCCGGGGTCAATGACCCTTAATCCGTATTAAGCCTTAATCCGGGGACAAGGATCCTTAAACCGGATTAAATGTCCCTTAATCCGGATTAAGCCTTATGCCTGGGTCAAGGAAACTTAATCTGGATTTAGTGTCCCTTAATCCGGATAAAGCCTTAACCCGGATTAAGCCTTAAACCGGATTAATCCGGATTAAGGTCCTTAATCCGGATTAAGTGTCCCGGATTAAGTGTCCCTTAATCCGGATTAAGTGGCCCTTAATCCGGATTAAGCCTTAAACCTGGGTCAAGGACCCTTAATCCGGATTAAGTGTCCCTTAATCCGGATTAAGTGTCCCTTAATCCGGATTAAGTGTCCCTTAATCCGGATTAAGTGTCCCTTAATCCGGATTAAGTGTCCCTTAATCCGGATTATGCCTTAATCCGGATTAAGGGATTATCCGGATTAAGTGGCCCTTAATCCGGATTAAGTGTCCCTTAATCCGGATTATGCCTTAATCCGGATTATGCCTTAATCCGGATTATGCCTTAATCCGGATTATGCCTTAATCCGGATTAAGCCTTAAACCTAGGTCAAGGACCCTTAATCCGGATTAAGCCTTAAACCTGGGTCAAGGACCCTTAATCCGGATTAAGTGTCCCTTAATCCGGATTAAGTGTCCCTTAATCCGGCTTATGGACCCTTAATCTATAAGATATATAAGGACTTTGGTGCACCATTTACTTTAAATCGAACGAAACTATGTATCGTGCTATATTCGGAGAAAGTGATTCTATGCTTATACTCAAAACGGACCATGACTATTTGGTACAATTTAGTACTTTATGTTCGCAAAATTACGCATTTCCTAAACTACCTCAATCCAACAGTAATTTTAATTCCTTAAGTCTGGAGTCCAGCCTATCCGTTAGCACATAATCAAGTTCCGGATCATAGACATAAGTACGAATTTCTAAAATGGAGCATTTACATCCTTCTAACTTTCCATCAGTGAACCACATCCAAAATTTCAGAATTCTAGCTCTTCCCATTTGTCTACCCTCGATTCGGAGTCAATGACATTTAATTCGGGTTAAATGAAGCCTTTAATCCGGGGTAAATGACCCTTAATCCGTATTAAGCCTTAAACCTGGGTCAAGGACCCTTAATCCGGATTAAGCCTTAATCCTGGGTCAAGGACCCTTAATCTATAAAGATTATAAGGACTTATTCTCAAAACGGACCATGACTATTTGGTACAATTTAGTACTTTATGTTCCCAAAATTACGAATTTCCTAAAATACCTCAATCCAACAGTAATTTTAATTCCTTAAGTCTGGAGTCCAGCCTATCCGTTTGCACATAATCAAGTTGTACCAAACATAGTACCATTTAGTACACATAAGTACCTCAATCCTGTACTCCAATAGTTATCCTAATTCCTATTTTTAAGTATTCAATCTCTTTACGCTCAACTAAATGCAGATAGTACCAAATTTAGTACTTTTCATAGACATAAGTACGAATTTCTAAAATGGAGCATCTACATCCTTCTAGCTTTCCATCAGTGAACCACATCCAAAATTTCAGAATTCTAGCTCTTCCTCTTTGTCTACCCTCGATTCGGGGTCAATGACCTTTAATTCGGGTTAAATGATGGCCTTTAATCCGGGGTCAATGACCCATAATCCGTATTAAGCCTTAATCCGGGAACAATGAACCTTAAACCGGATTAAATGTCCCTTAATCCGGATTAAGTGTCCCTTAATCCAGATTAAGTGTCCCTTAATCCGGATTATGCCTTAATCCGGATTAAGCCTTAAACCTAGGTCAAGGACCCTTAATCCGGATTAAGAGGCCCTTAATCCGGATTAAGTGGCCCTTAATCCGGATTAAGTGGCCCTTAATCCGGATTAAGCCTTAATCCTGGGTCAAGACATTTAATCCGGATCAAGGGACAATTAATCCGGATTAAGTGTCCCTTAATCCGGATTAAGTGTCCCTTAATCCGGATTAAGTGGCCCTTAATCCGGATTAAGCCTTAAACCTAGGTCAAGGACCATTAATCCAGATTAAGTGTCCCTTAATCCGGATTAAGTGTCCCTTAATCCGGATTAAGTGTCCCTTAATCCGGATTAAGTGGCCCTTAATCCGGATTAAGCCTTAAACCTAGGTCAAAGACCCTTAATCCGGATTAAGTGTCCCTTAATCCGGATTAAGTGTCCCTTAATCCGGATTAAGTGTCCATTAATCCGGATTAAGTGGCCCTTTATCCGGATTAAGTGGCCCTGAAACCGGATTAAGCCTTAAACCTAGGTCAAGGACCCTTAATCCGGATTAAGTGTCCCTTAATCCGGATTAAGTGTCCCTTAATCCGGATTAAGTGTATCTTAATCCGGATTAAGTGTCCCTTAATCCGGAATAATCCGGATTAAGGCATAATCCGGATTAAGGGACATTAATCCGGATTAAGGGACATTTAATCCGGTTTAAGGATCCTTGTCCCCGGATTAAGGCTTAATACGGATTAAGGGTCATTGACCCCGGATTAAAGGCCATCATTTAACCCGAATTAAAGGTCATTGACTCCGAATCGAGGGTAGATAAAGGGGAAGAGCTAGAATTCTGAAATTTTGGATGTGGTTCACTGATGGAAAGTTAGAAGGATGTAGATGCTCCATTTAACGGAACTTGATTATGTGCAAACGGATAGGCTGGACTCCAGACTTAAGGAATTAAAATTACTGTTGGATTGAGGTAGTTTAGGAAATGCGTAATTTTGGGAACATACAGTACTAAATTGTACCAAATAGTCATGGTCCGTTTTGAGAATAAGCATAGAATCACTTTCTCCGAATATAGCACGATACATAGTTTCGTTCGATTTAAAGTAAATGGTGCACCAAAGTCCTTATATATCTTATAGATTAAGGGTCCCTTAATCCGGATTAAGGGTCCATAAGCCGGATTAAGGGTCCATAAGCCGGATTAAGGGACACTTAACCCGGATTAAGGGACACTTAACCCGGATTAAGTGTCCTTGACCTAGGATTAAGGCTTAATCCGGATTAAGGGACATTTAATCCGGATTAAGGGATAATCCGGATTAAGACTTAATCCGGATTAAGGGACACTTAATCCGGATTAAGGAAAACCTAATCCGGATTAAGGGATCCGGATTAAGGGACACTTAATCCGGATTAAGGGTCCTTGACCCAG